TGTAATTCATGGACGACCCCTTATGTAATTTAAATTTTACTTTGTATAATTTATTTTTAATAAGAATTTATTACTTTTAAAATAAAAAATGACAACTTGAAAAATATTATTTTATTTGTAAATTTAATTTACATTTGGTAGTTTTTTAATTTTGTAATTCATTATATATTCATAATAGTTTTTAATTTTGTAAATCATTTTCATAAGCAAGTTTTTTTTTTCAATTACGGTAATATAATTTTTTTTAAATTAGTTATTTTTATATATAAATGTAAATTAAAGTTAATAGCTATAAGTTATAATAGCTTAGCTATTATACCTCTTTAGGAGTTACTTATATAGTTTGGTATACTTTAGAGTAGTATAATTTCAGTATAAGCAAAGAGTAACTTATACTTTGGTATAAGTAGCTCCTTGCATATACTGAAAAGAAATTTTTTATTTTTTTTGAACTTATTTTGCCGTTGAAGAAATATTACAAATTAAACATTAAATTTACTAATAAAATTACATTATTTACTACTTATTTACTTACAAACATAAATTTAATAATAAAATTAATGGCCGGAAGAAAACATTATTTTTGTCTAATCGCCGAGCATCGTGTTTCAATATATTCATTTTTCAATATAAATTTTTTTTTCCAAGAGTTTAAAATATAAATTAAGAAATAAGATAAATGTTTACAAAAATATCAACATTATAATAAGATAAACTTAATAAATAGGTAATACCATAAATAAATTAAATAAAATTAGGTAAATTTAATTTGAACTTTCAAAATTCTTTATATAACTTTTTTATAAAAATTAACTTGTGTAAGTAAAAGAAAAAGTAAGTAAAAGAGCCATTTCTAACTGGAGTCTGGGAACAAAAAAAAAAGTTCTTTTTACCCAATTATAACTTTCAAAAGTCATGGTTCGTGTAAAAAGAACTTTAGGGGAGGATTCAAAATTCACATGGAAACTTCCATTATGCCTTTAATAAAGTGAATAGATCCGACAGAAAAGCCTTGTAAAGAAACTTTAAATTTCTATAAAGAATCGGAAAGCACGCACGAAACTTGTCTATGAACATTTAAAGTCGGCAGAGGGACAATGATCAAAATTCATTTTTATTGGTGAACCAAAGTTTATGTTATTTGAATCTGTTGTCCAAAATATAAATAAATATAAATAGCAGCAAGAAACAGTACCGAGATAGAAACATTATGGTTTGATTAAAAAGATTGTGCCGATCCTATCTACTTGATTGATTGCATAATGGACAAAATTATGTAAAATGGATTGTACAATTTACATTGTACAATGTACAAATGGAAAAAAAATGTACAAGTATATCATTAAAGATGTTATGATGTCATGTGTTAAAGACAAATCCCTCGAGAAAGGATATTTCAGCAGGACAATGACCTAATGGACACTTCAACCTTAGAAAAAGACTTTTTCAAATTCAAAAAAGTTCTATTAATGGAATGACATTTCTAAGGTCCAGACTTTAATCCTATCCAACATCTATGGGAACATCTCGATCGACAAATTTCAGGTCAAAATCCAACATATAAACAAAATTTATTTGATATTTTGAAACAAGAATAGGAAATAATTGGCATTGATGTGATTAGGGGTGTGGAGTCGTACAAAAAAAGTAATGACTCCGACTCCAACTCCAGTTGTTGAAATTTTTTGAGTACAACTCCGACTCCGACTCCGACTCCAACTCCGACTCCGACTCAAATTCCAAAGTGATCTTTTAAAACCATTAGTAATAAAAAAACAAAAGGAAAAAGAAAGTGATTAGAAATCTCACTATTAATTTGATAAATAAATTAACCTTTATTATATTATCAATTAGGTAACTTACAGGTAACAGGTATATCATAACTTTGCAGTAAATTATTATTAATTATATATTTCATAAGACATCTTTTATCTATTGACCAATTTTTTTCAGATAACTGTCTATTTATATGGCAATTTTTAAATTAAACTTTGATCATATGGTATAGTACATAATTTATAAAGTAAATAAAACTTTAAATATCTTGAGCTGAGACTAAGAAGTTCAATGCTTTTCAATTATTTCTTATTGGTTGCTGTCGCGTTTTTTTTAACAATAACACAGGCCAACAGCTATTTTGGTTCCGGGGTATTTGCAGCAAATTTTATATGAGTTTGATGCCCTGAACTCAAATACTGAAGAAAGTTAACCATTTTTAGGTCCACAAAAATCACCCATTGATGTTGCTGATACTTTAGCTTTTCCAAGATTAAAGCAATGGTGTTATATTCTTCTTTCATTTTTGTTGAGTGAGCAATTGGTATTGAACCAAATTTGTTTCCATTGTGCAGAAGAACACATTTCAAACTTCGCTTTGAGCTATCAATAAATAGACGCCACTCATCTTGAAAATATTTAGGAAGACTCATCTTTTCTAGGAGTCCTCTAATTTCGTGACAAAATACAAGATCCTCTTCTTGAGAGAAGAAGGGTAGCAGATCCTTATCTCGTGTACGATAGAAAGTAATTTTGGTTCCTTGTTCCAGTAAATTTTTGTCCTTCAATCTGGAAGCAAGTAACTCAGAAGCTTCTTTTGATAAGTTGAGATCTCTGGTAAGGTCATTCAACTCATCTTGATTGAATTGTTGTGGAATAGATGCCTTTCCAACATAATCATTGTCAATTTCATTAGTATCAAAAGAATTAAAAGCACAATACTCATCCTCGCAGAGCTCTGGTATCTGGAGAAACGTTGGGATTGGAACTTCCTCTGAGTGAAGAACCGGTCGTCTTGCAGATAATAAATCAGGATAAGTCCATTTGCTACGGTTGTTTCGATTGATTCCAGTAATACTTAATAAGCAGAAATAACAATCATTGAAATGGTTTCGTGGTTCTCTCCAAACCATTGGCACGCCGAATTTCATACTTTTTCTTTTCCCGGTAGTCCACTGTCGTAAATGTTCTGTATAAGTTTTACATACCTGATGTTAGGCCCAGGTTTTATCTTGATCCCCAAGCCTAACACCAAAGTATGCAAGATAAGCCTAACACCAAAATATGCCCTCTTTAAAAAGTCACTAACTTTTTTTCTGTTTTCTTTTAACATATATTCTCCGCATATGTAGCAAAACACATCATGGAGTTAAAACTGTTAATTTCATGTAAAATCGCACGTAAAATTTGTCTCAAAAACTAGAGCTGATAGAGAAAAACTTCAAATTCAGATTCAGCAACAAAAATATAGCTAAAATCAATTATTAAATCTTAGGCACCAAAAAACTTTTTTTTTTTTTGTAGGCCTGTGTAATTTGTAGTTTTTTGTTTTCGAAAACTATGAAATAAATAATAAATAAATAGTGTTATGGTTATGTCTCAAAATTGATAAGGTTGATAAAACTCATAATTTTATTATTTTTAACAGTTTCAGAGTTTAATGAATATTGGTACAGATATAATATGGGAGAGATATCTTGACGGGAAAAAGCAGAATGTATGTTTGTTACTCAATAATGTGATTTGGAGAAAACGCTCCAAAAGTGTGTACGTGAAGAGTTTAACGCTTAAAATTAGTTTTTTTTTACCAAGTTCGTTCCAAAAGACTGATGTTCTTCATGTAAAGCTAATAAATAATAAATCATTTTAAAGAATAAAAAGCAAATGAAAAAGCAACTAGGAAAGAACTTGAGTATAAACATAATGATGAATAAAGAACGGTATATAAAATTATTAATCTTTACATAATAATTTAACAATATTAACTTGCTATGTGAAAATATTAACTTGGTGAAAGCAGATCTTAAAGATCTTGTTGTAAAAAATTTCAATAGTTACAATTTGTTTATCAACATTAAAAATATTAAAAAAATTGTTCCTTGAGTTTCTGATTCAGATACCGTTTTATTATTTATCGTTGGCTATTATTATTTTTACTACGTTTTCCTCTACGTAACTTTTATTTCTTTTTTTTCTTTTTATCTTTTAGTTTACATTGTCGTGTAACCAATTTAAATAACAATTTAAGTAACCAATATAAATTTGGAATATAGAGAACCATATAAAAATTGTAATACAAATAAATATAGTAAATGTAATTCAGAACTTCTCCAACTTGTTTATTAATTTGTCTCTTGAACAAAATTGTAAACCGTATTTGGAGTTTGTGTAGCTTTGACACTTAAAGTAAAATTTAGATATAAGTGAAAAAGAAAAACCCGGGTCACTTACCCGTTTGTTCGACGGGTACCTGGGCAGGCATTTTCACAATTTTTGACAACCTTATTTACAAGTACAACACAGAAATAGAAAAATACGTAAATTGATAAAAATCAAATATTCATTATAAATTTAGTTTAAACCAAACCGTTTTATCAACATTTTTACGTCCAAAACCAGCGATTCTTTGATCTTGCAGTTTGAACCACAACTACCAGTAACAACTACATCTAAGCTTTCTTTTAAAAAAGTTGCCAAGAATTTATCAAATCGTATTTTAATACCAAAAGTTTACATATAAGAAATTTTGATGTAAAGTAGCTTTTTGAGAAGCTAGCTGGCGCTTCATTGTGTTATCCCAAAATAATAAAACAAATTGAGTTGGCAGAAGCAAAAAAGCAAACAAAATTCGTTGCTGTTCAAAGCCTCGAAAATTTTGTCCAGTGGAATATTATTAAGTATCCGCATGTCTATACTAAATAACCCAGAATTTTTTCTTTAATATTGAATTTAACATACCAGTCACGAGCTGGCCTTTCAACATGTGATGACTTTGCAATAGCCTTACACGACGATTAGATAATGTGATGAGTTTTATGGTTAAAATCGTTTTACTGATTTGTTTTTTTTTCAAATGAAAAACTCAAAAATTTTCCATTTATTTGTAAAATTAAACTTTGAATTAAAAAAATGAATATTTTCAAAATCTGTATTAAATTTTGTTTTATTTTACTTAACAAAATAATTTTTCCTGGTACCCAAGGCCATTGTTATGAGGGATAAAAGTCATACCCCTAAAGCTGAAGTTAAACCGGCAAAATTTTGCTCGGAGGAACAAAAAGATATAAAAATTATTTGAAACAAAAAAATGGTTGCATTAACTTCTGTGGAGATTCCACTTCGTGATACGGATGAGGTTGACTTTGTTTTATATTTGGAGTTAAAAGAAACTTAACGCTTTAATATATTGCACTGCTAATGACTTATTAATTTTAAAGGTTATAGAGTTAGATTTTGATCAGCTTCCCGATGGTGACGAAGTTTTAAGTATTCTTGAGCAAGAAAATGCTGTTCTTCATCTTTGGATTACACTTGCTGTAAGTGATTTATATTTATTTACATAAATTATTTTCTTAAACTTTCAAGAAAAATTGTGTTATGTTTGTTTATTTATGATAATACTTTTATGAGTTCATTAGTGAAAAATATTTTGTTATTGTTATTGTTCAACATCTCAAACTTCAAACACTCAACATATATCATGTCGTTTTTGAATTTCATCTCAAATATGCTAGTCAAGTAATACCCTGTCTCAATTTTTTTAAAGATTATCTCACCTCCAAAATGAAATTCTAAGAAAAATTTATTAAAGCATTTTAACTCTGACCCTAGTATTCTCTACTGAATATCAAAAATGCTTAAATTAAAGGATCTCATTCAACTCTCAAACTTTTTGTTTGTCTGTAAACAGCAGAATAATACCCTACCTCTTCTATTTACTCATTTTTTTACTTATCTAAAAATACTCATTACCATATTCAATCGGCTATAAGCTGATTGAATGAACTGAAAAAAAAACTTGTTTCCATATAAAATCAGCTAAAAGCTGATTGAATATGGTAATGAGTATTTATACCATAATCAATCAGCTAGAAGCTGATCGAATTTGGTAACAAGTATTTTTTTTAACTTTTGTAAAAGTATTTTAGTACTAAAATACTTTTAAAGAAGTAATTAAAATACAAAAACAAATATTTGGTCAAAAAAGTATTTTTTTAATACAAATACAAATTATTTTTAAGCAAAAGTATTTAAATTACAAAACATGAATTACTCAGTATCAAAGAAATAAAAATACCAAATACTTTTTTAATTCTTGAAAATGTTTGAAAACAGCTAAAGTTTAAAGTGTATCTTATTAAATGTATATCTTTTGGAACAAGCATTGCAAGTTTCTTATGATCTTGCTGAACCCTAAGCATGAGAAATCTTAGAAAACAATTAGTTTTACCTTAAAGTTTGTCCAGAGTATCAGCAATAAGTTTTATAAATTGTTTGTATTCTTCTAATACCTCCAGTTTCACTGATTTGATTTTTTTTAAATTCTGATTTACTCCCAACAAGGTTGCAAGCAACCACTATTAAGTTGGGAGTTACCAGAAAAAAAGAATAGAGTTAAAGAGCAAGGAGATGGTTGATAGAAAACTTAAAAAGTTGAAGGTTGTATGAGTCAGGAAAACATGAAGATGGGAGAGAGTTCCAAAGGGTTAAAGTGCAGGGGAAAAAATTAGACGAATAAAAGTTTTGGAGCATGCAGGTATAGATACAGTAAAAGAATGAAATTTTGATGAATAGCAAGTCAAGTGAGAAAGTGAGAATGAGTTTTAGTTGATGGAACTAGAGAAGATGATAGCTCCATTGAGCAGAAATCATGATAATATTTTTAGAGAAGAAAAAGAGATGCAACCTTACGACAATCGGAAAGAGGCTCGAGATTAGCAGAGAGATCAGGTCCAACTATGTTTACAATGTGTTTTTGTACCTTGTCTAGAATCATTAGAGAGAGAATCATTAGAAATCATTAGAGAGAGAATCATTAGAGAGAATCATTAGAAGAACCAGTCCAAATATGACAACAGTATTCCATACAGGGGCAAATAAGAGATTTGTAGAGGTAGAGAATAGAATCAGGAGAGTTGTTTGCAGTAAATAACTGAGTTCTGTTGGAGTTAAAATTTACAAGCCACTGTAAGCCCCAAACTTTTGAAGTGAGATCAGATTCAAGTATTGATAATCAAAAAAACTTTCCCAAATATACCATATGAAACAAGCTTATGGAGAAGAAATAGCAAAATATTCTCCACAACATCAGATGTTTGTGTGCTTTGGCTGACACGTGACCACAGTTTTAAGTCATTAGTTATTTTATTTAAATTATTACTTTTTTTTTTTTTTTTAAATAAAACTAAAAAGTATTTTGAAAGAGATTAAAAATGCCAAATACATTAACAATTTAGAATACAAATACTAACTACTCAGTAATTCTCAATACTAACTGAAAAAGTTTTCAAAATACAAAATACAAATACTTAAAAAGTTTTTTCAATACTTAAAAATAATAAAATACTAGTATTTAAAATATCTTACAGTGCTGATTGTTATACTTATTTATTATTAAATAAATATCTAAATGTTGCTGTTATATTTTAAACAATATATATATATATATATATATATATATATATATATATATATATATATATATATATATATATATATATATATATATATATATATATATATATATATATATATATATATATATATATATATATATATATAAACATCCCTATAGTAAAGGCGTTAAATATACAGTTTGTGGTCAAAAACATCTAGCTTGTCTATGGTTTTTAAACTGACAAAATTAAGGTTTAATGTTTTTTTAAAAAACCACAAAAACGCAAATTAAAAGACTAGAATGTTTTTATTTTATTTTTAAAAAACTAAAAACATTCTGAATGTTTTTATTTTTATTTTTTTACTGTAAAGCATGTTGTGTTGCTACATCAACTATTTTATAGCTTAAATCTACTATATACTATAGCTACATCAACTATCGATGTTGCTACATTGACTATCTTATAGCCTGCTGCTACAAGGGAGTGTTGCTACATCGACTATCTTATAGCCGCTGCTAAAAAAGAGTGCTGCTACAATGACTATCTTAAAGCCTGACTCGCAATGGAGTGCCACTACAAAAGGGGGTTTGGTTAGGGCAGCAAGTCTATCAAATAGTTGAAAAAAAAACTTTTTAAAAAATTTTATTTTTTCGGACAATTTTTCCAATAAAGACTCAAGTTTGCTAGACATGTCCAATAAAAATTAAAGCAGTGCAACCAATCGCCATTCCTGACCACGCATAAAATGTTTTGTTTTTACAACTTGACCATGCAATTATCTAACAAAAAGAAAATCCTAAAAGAAAAGAAAAAATCTGAGCTCAAAAAAACTAAAATTTGAAAAGGAAAATATATTTATATTATGTTTTTTTTAAAAATTACTATACTATGTAAAATGCTTTATAAATTATTAAATACATAAATGTATGTATTTATGAATGTATGTATATATGCAGTGCCCTGACCAGCATATCAAAAAAAAAAAAGGTCCATCAGTTAAAAAGTTAGGGGAACCATGGCCAACCAACCCTCCTTCCTCTTTGAATATATATTCAATTAACGTTTAACAAATTCTTTATTCATTTGGAATATTGATATTGTTTATGCGGTGTTTATTTACATTAATTCAATTATTTACATTACATTTATTTACATTAATTTAAAAAAACAGACAATTAAATGACTTTTCTTTTTAATAAAAATCTTTAAATTTAAATATGGTTTTAAAAATTTAAAATATAAATATAACTTTAAAGGAATAATAATAATAATAATAATAATAATAATAATAATAATAATAATAATAATAATAATAATATATATATATATTTATATATATATATATATAATACATATATAATACATAATACATATTTATTGTAATAACAATATATACATTGTTGCAGAGCATACTGTGAAGCCATAACAGCTGTTAATGTTTTAAATTGTCAAAATTAGTTTTAAATGCGGTAGTGGTGTAGTGGTAAAACACTCGCCTCATAAACGAGAGGTTCCGAGTACGATCCCCACCACGTCCCTGGTAGTACCGCGCTCAACTTGTTTCTCTGCGCAGCAGCCTTGTTCGTCAAGGTTCAAGTTTCTGAATTATAGAGTTTAGAGAGGGTTCTGTAGTGGCCTTCTCAGCCTTGAGGAGGTGAATAACAAAAAAAAAAAAACAACAACAACTAAGGAACCTTAAATAAATAACATAGTTCAGCCGTTCTTAATATAAAATGATTTTGCAATACTTTTTAAAGAAATAGTTATTTCCTTTTTATTTATTTGAAAACTAATTCATTATGCAAAAATGTTAAGATTCTACAAAAGTCTTCATCATGAATTTAATGGTAAAAGCAATCATAAAACATCATTATTTATTGTAAAAAAAGAAAAGTGTTTTTGTTTAAAAGAATTTTTTTCACTATAGAATTAAATTTTTTTTCTCATTCAAAATTTCATTAAGTTTGTACAACATGAGTTTTATTTAAACACATTAAGCTTGTACTACATGAGTTTTATTTAAACACATTAAGTTTGTACAAAAGTTTTATTTAACCCTGTATTGCATAAATTAAGAAAAATATGAAAATTAAATTTTTTTTTGCCTGTAATTATAATAATTTTTTATGTAACTATAAAAACCAAAAAAAAAAAATTTTTTTTTTCATGTTAGGGGAACTTGGGGTTTGTTAATTAACATTATGCAATAGAGGAAAAACAAAAAAAATTTAACAATATTTTTTTTCTTTCTAATTACTTGTGAAATTTTTTAAAACAATTAGATTTATTTGTAAAACACAAATGTAATTTACATTTCTCACAATAAACCTTAGGGATACGATCAAACCCAGGGTTTTTACATCACCTTTTTTTTCATTAAATACAGACCAATGATCAATGCTATCAATTCTAGTTGAAAATTCAGGAAGTTATGCAACAGGCCCTTTTTTTTTTCTTTGCAATAAGAAGATTTTCCACTGATTTTGATAAACAACCTCTTTTATATTTCACTACTATCACTATTATCTAAAAGATCTTTATTATATTCTTCATCAGAGTCTGTAAACAAATCACTATCATCTGAAATTTTTAGGTTTAAAACCAGGCTTGGTTAGGAAGCGGGTGCAATCGCACTCGATATTTGACCATGGAAATAATATTTAGTTGCGTAAAACTGGCCAGATTTTTTAGTCGTTTTGAGAACATTTCAAAAACAAACAAAAAAGCGCAACAAGATTAACTGGACCGATGAGAGACAGTTAAAAGTTTTTAACGCGAAAAAACTTCAAGCAAATTAAATACGATTAGAGCAAATATTTTTGAAACGTCGCTCTTTCATAATAATTTTGTTAAAATTAAGCAACATTTTTTATATTAAGTAACAACTTACTATTAATGATTGTTTAATAAAGAAATAA